AACAAACGAGTTGACGTCTATCCTCTACAGCAGAGAAACAAACGATTTGACGTCAATCCTTTAAAGCAGAGAAACAAACGATTTGACGTCAATTTTCTACAGCAGAGAAAGAAACGAATTGACGTTTATCATTTACAGCAGAGAAACAAACGAATTAACGTCTAGCTTCTCAGGAGAGAAACAAACGAATTGACGTATATCCTCTACAGCAGAGAAAAAAAACGAATTGACGTCCATCCTCTACAGCAGAGAAACAAACGATTTGACGTCAATTTTCTACAGCAGAGAAAGAAACGAATTGACGTTTATCATTTACAGCAGAGAAACAAACGAATTAACGTCTAGCTTCTCACGAGAGAAACAAACGAATTGACGTCTAGCTTCTCAGGAGAGAAACAAATGAATTGACGTCTAGCTTTTCAGGAGAGAAACAAACGAGAGGTGAAATGAGTGTGCGCGTTGATCAGCGCCACGTTGACAACATATATCTATGGTTTGTGATTCGATAGTTTACAAGAATAATTTATACTTAAAACGTAAAACGAGAAAATTACGTTGATTTATAAATAAACCGTCTATTATAGAACTAGTATTAAAATAAGCTCAGTTGTAAGATTATAACTCTTATTATTGCCGTATAGCTTACGGATGCGTTGACTTGGTCCCACTTATAGTTTTCCAGAGTTAGAACTTGTGAGCTGTCGGTGTAAAAGCTATAGTGAATTAGTCTCGACATCCCGTATTCAGAGTGGGAAGTTTTGTTTGCATAACCATGTGATTACGTTGAAACCCGACAAATCGATACGTATTTTATATTTAAACCCGAGTGATGAATTTGTGTATCAAGGGAAATATTTCCATTGCAAACGTAATCCGATTCAATAAAAGACAATTGTTGTTCTTTCCAGCCCACTTACACACGCCCATCTTTACTAACAACAGGGCTCACTAGGCCGACTTCCATACACACTAACCCGCTCCCGAGAGGGCGCACAAGGCCCGTGGCCGTACTTGCTGCATCAATCATTGTCACGTGCGTCGATTAATTTGAATATTGGGTACCAAGTTTTTCAGAGCTACCAATATTACTTAACTCGTTTGTAATCTAGCGGTGGGAATACTTTACTGGACTAGTATTTAGAATCCGTCTTTCCAGAAAATCTAACAAAATAAACTCCAAGTGAACGACGGCTAGCGGTAAGTACAACTGGGATTACAATAAATTGAAAGGAACGGTCGCTGTTTGTATTGTTTTATGTTATTGATGTGTAAGACCCAAAGTAGTTCCCTCCATTGTGATAAGTCTCTGACATTTTAAATCCATTTGGGAATAGCATAAAACAAAACCGAAATGGTTAAAGATCAGTGACAAACGAGACGAGGCAGTTCCAAAATACCATATCTTGTCTGCAGACTTGATCCGACGTAAAACCAGAGGGTCTTCAACAGCAATAACACATACTTAATAATGGCTTCCCGTTACAAAATGGCATGATTGACCACAAGTGTTTCACAATATGTATGTTTCACTACAATAAAACATGTTAACACTATATGAGAAAGCTACGTTATCATTATATTTTGATTGCTTCGTTACTGAAAAACCTGTCTAAACGGGGAACCACTATAGGTTTCAAATTGTATTTTGATTGAAGGTTAAAATTATTCATTTCACAGATGTTTAACGTAGTCTGTCTTAGCCAAGCGTTTGTATTCATGTTACCCGATTACGTAGATTCTGGTTTAGAAATTCCCCCTGAATAAGCAAATAATTGTGAACAAAATTGTCATTGTTTTTCTCTTTGACAAGACACGCTCCGTAAATTATCTCCGTCAATGTTGACGACTGTAAAAGTATACACTGAGCTATTGACAAACAACAGCAATGTTAATGAACACGCGCATGTGCTCCTGGGTACGGTCGTTGTACATTAGTATGCATGTACCATCTTATATAGGAAATAGATATACGTTAGTGCTGTGGCTTACAGAAACAATTACTACGTGTATAAATAGAAAGGACAGAACATCGTAGTAGAGGCGACCTATCTATGCAAATTGGTAATTCAATTATCTCGGAATGTATTTATAAGACACACACTGGTTAGATCACTACTGACAGTATACCGTTACAGTATACCGTTGGTGAAATACGACAGACAAATGCATCAGTATGATTTACCGTGGTTTAACCACTACAGAGGTAGACGGATGACAGAGTACAAATGTACAGTCGGGATTTAGTATGGGAGCACCTTGACTTATTCCGATAGAAATATGCCTAACAGGTTAGAACTCAAATGACTAACAGGTTAGAACTCAAATGACTTACAGCTTAGAACTGCGCAATTCAGTAGTACAACTGTACGTTATAATTGCCAAATATGGTATAACAATGACCTACCCTTCTAACACTATCTGACTAATAGCGGTAGATCAATCCAACAACATGTTCGATATGTGACTTACAATTGTAGAAGTATAACTTGACAAGGAAAGATGTACAGCTGTCTACCATTGTAGACCTAGTATACACCATGGTACAGTCATCATAGCTACCTACCATATAGTGGAATTGGTTAGCTACATTGTTGGTTTGTTTGTGTTTTATGTCCTATTAACAGCTACGGCCATTTAAGGAAGTGCCAGGTTTTCGTGTTGGAGGAAAGCCGGAGTTCCAGGAGAAAAAAACACAGACATACGGCGAGAACCTGGCGACTGCCCCACATATGTATCGAACACACGACCCAGTGGTGGAGGGCTGGTGGTAGCAGAATGTCAGACTCCTTAACCACTTGGCCAACGCCCCCCTCCCCCCTTTGTTAACTACCAATACCAAACTATGACATACCATCATAGAACAGTGACTAGCCAATTAAGGACCATGTATTACCATTGTAGAACTAGTACACACCATGATAGTCATTACAGTACTATATAGTAGAACTGTGACTTATCCTGATATAGCTGAAACTTGCAATGGTAGATGGCCCTAAATGACTAAAATTGTCCATGTACCTAAGAGCAAAACTATACAATTAAAGAACTGAGAGTTACCAAAGAAGAACTAAGAATCACCAGGTACAAATGAGATGTTTCATAGCAGAACTAAAAATTACCAAGGAAGAATTGAAACTTGCCATGGTAAAACGTGACAAACCATGGTAGAAATAAGACTTGCCATGGGATAACTAAGATTTACCATGGTAGAGCTAGCTTACAACTGAGACTAACAATGGTAGAACTAATGCGTATCATAGTAGAACTAAGACTTAACATGGTAAAAGTAAGACTTGCCATGGTAGAACTAAGACTTGCCATGGTAAAACTAAGAACTACAATGGAAGAAAAAACTTACAATGGTAGAACTAAGAAGTGTTATGGTAGAACTAAGAGTTGCCTTGGTAGAACTAAGACTATCTATGTTAGAACTGAGACTTACAATGGTTGAACTAAGACTTGTCATGGAAGAACTAAGACTAGCCTTGGTAGAACCAAGAATTGTTACGGAAGAACCAAGACTTGCCTTGGTAGAACTAAGACTTGTTATGTTAGAACTGAGAGTTACCATAACAGAACTACGAAATAAAATGGTAAAACTGAGACTTACAATGGTAGAACTGAGACTTGCCATGGCAGAACTAAGGCTTACCATGGTAGAACTAAGACTTGTCATGGTAGAACTAAGACTTGCCATGGTAGAACTAAGACTTGCCATGGTAGAACTAAGGCTTACCATGGTAGAACTAAGACTTACCATAGTTTAATTAAGACTTACCATGATAAAACTGGGATGCTGAGAAGATTTCTCCTAACTCCACACAATACACCATCACGATCTTATCGTCAGGTGTCCAGGCATGCTCCACGAACCCTGAAACACACCATATAAATGAAACTGAAAGTTACGTAGCGAAAATCCGCATGCTTAGATGGTAGTATGAATAAAACACAGGCGAAGCTCTTTTTTATAGAAAAAACATATTTAAAACAATTTTTATTAAAACCAATTGGCGATAAAAATATGTTAATGGCATGCATTTCTTGTCACATTGTATGATAATAATCCATTGATGTCCATGTGATATTGAAATAACGCCAACGATTTCAGTCACATTGCCTTCCACATGGTGATTAGTAATGTCAGGTTACAACTAATCTCAAACTATGGAACACAGGAATGCATGTTTTATATATAATTGTCTTAAATTAAGGATCATTATTAGGTTATCAAAACGTATTCAATTACCTATATTAAAGCTTATAATTAAGCGTTACAAAGGGGTTTGAAACCCAGCATGGGTAGAAATCTATATATTATTTGTATTATATTTTATTTCATTTTCATTTCTATTTTAACATCAATATATATCATCAACCCAAACAATATATCAACAAACAAAAATCTTAGCTCACAGTCTTTCTTTATGAATTCCAATAATGCTTCACACCGATAACACTATTTTATTACATATCTATTGAGGTGGAAGCGAAACAAACTTTACGACCTGTGTAGATGTTGCACATACTATAATTATAGCATACGTTTTAAGGTAAACATCATATTTTGTAGTGACAGATGGTCTAATGTGTGTTTGCCTACCTACTGATTGTTTTGAACAAATAGCTAATAACTATATATGGCGTATAAATTTCAGTCAAGCCACAAGTACTAGTGAGCCAAAGATCTGGCATTGTAATGAAAACTGTTCGACGGGAGCATAGATCAACATACACGTAGTATAGACCTGTTTACAACGTAGATCACAAATATAGAATTGTTTACAACGTAGTTCACAAATATAGAATTGTTTACAACGTAGATCACAAATATAGAATTGTATACAACGGAGTACAACGTAGATCACAGATATAGAATTGTTTACAACGTATATCACAGATATAGAATTGTTTACAACGTAGATCACAAATATAGAATTGTTTACAACGTAGATCACAGATATAGATTTGTTTACAACGTACATATGTAGATCACAGATATATAATTGTTTACAACGTAGATCACAAATATATAGAATTGTTTACAACGTAGATCACAAATATAGAATTGTATACAACGCAGATCACAAATTTAGAATTGTATACAATGTAGATCACATATTGATACAACATAGATCATAATTGTATGTATCGTAGATCACAAATAAAGAATTGTATACAACGTAAATCACAAATATAGAATTGTACACAACGTAGATCACAATTGTATACAACATAGATCACAATTGTATACAATGTAGATCACAAATAAAGAATTGTATACAACGTAGATCACAATTGTATACAACGTAGCTCACACTTATATATAATTGTATACAACTTAGATCACAAGTATAGAATTATATCCAACGTAGATCACAATTGTATAAAACGTAGCTCACAATTATATATAATTGTATACAACGTAGATAACAAGTATAGAATTATATACAACGTAGATCGCAATTGTATACAACGTAGCTCCCACTTATATATAATTGTATACAACGTAGATCACAAGTATAGAATTGTATACAACGTAGATCACAATTGTTCACAATGTGAATCACAAATAAAGAATTGTATACAACGTAGATCACAAATATAGAGTTGTACGGCATCTAAGCTACGTTAGTGTTACAACTTTAACTGATTTACCCCTGAAATTTCACAATAAACTAGTCCAGCCTTTGAATTGTGGGAGTTCAGATGTGTCTTAATGGGTGAACGCGTTAAAGGTAGGCTCACATAGTTAGCTCTTGGTTACTTTTTTTTGCATGGGTGAGGAATCGTTAGCAGCACTCTTATTAAGTAGCCGTTGTAGTTTGTTTTCAAAATAGTCTACCAATGTTTCCTGTTACAAGACAAGGAGAGAAGTTGCTCCAGACGTTGTTCTAAGTCTGATACATGTCTAAGTTGTGTTGGTTGTTTGATTTACCGGAAACGGCTGACTCAACACATTTGGTGCTACGTTTGGGAAGCCTGATCACCAGCATGTATCGGTAGCGAGGTGTGGTTTTTGAAAGAAACCATATTTCTTATCTCAAATATAGGATCAGTTTTGTATCAGTCTATTGAACACTCGATTCATTCCGCCTCACCGCCAGCAGTCTCTCATCCACAATTATACTAATGTCCGCCAACACCGGCCGGGAATCGATGTATCCCGGGCTGGCCAATTATTGCCGACAAACAATGCATGCACACGCAATAAAACGTCGTAACTGAAGACGCGGATATACACGTATCATTGCATTACAAAAGGGGAGCGCCCTCGGATCACTGTCATGCAGTTCATCAAGTTTTAGACGAATTTGGCGGATTGGTTCCTTTGTTGAGGGGTAATCAGTATAATGGTCTACTGATACTGGGATTATTGTTGTCAGTCAAACTACTACATGCACCATGTAACATCTACAACTCCTGTTGTCATTTGACATAATTTCAAATAACATACATCATACCAGACTTCCATTCCAAATTCCAATACAAACTAGGAACTACAACCGTTATTTCCGCCTCCAGAAACACACACAACCAAGGGATACCAGAACTCTCAGGGAAACACAGACAACACAAGGAATACCAGAACTCTCAGGGAAACACAGACAGCACATGGTATATTAGACCCCTCAGGGAAACACAGACAACCAAGGGAATACCAGAACTCTCAGGGAAACACAGACAACACAGGGAATACCAGAACTCTCAGGGAAACACAGACAACACATGGTATATTAGACCCCTCAGGGAAACACAGACAACACAGGGTATACGATACACCTCAGGGAAACACACACAACCAAGGGATACCAGAACTCTCAGGGAAACACAGACAACACATGGTATATTAGACCCCTCAGGGAAACACAGACAACACATGGTATACGATACACCTCAGGGAAACACAGACAACACAAGGAATACCAGACCTCTCAGGGATACACAGACAACACATGGTATACTAGATAGACCCCTCAGGGAAACACAGATCACACAGGGTATATCAGACCCCTCAAGAAAACACATACCGCTCAGAGAAACACAAACCGCTCAGGGAAACACAGACCGCTCAGAGAAACACAAACCGCTCAGAGAAACACAAACCACTCAGAGAAACACATACCGCCCAGGGAAACACAGACTTCCTAGGGAAACACAAACCGCTCAGAGAAACACAAACCGCTCAGGGAAACACAGACCCCTCAGAGAAACACAAACCGCTCAAGGAAATACAGACCACTCAGCGAAACACAAACCGCTCAGAAAAAAACGATCGCCAGGGAAACACAGACCGATCAGAGAAACACAAACCGCTCGGGGAACACAAACCGCTCAGAAAAACACAGACCCCTCAGGGAAATACAGACCGCTCAGACAAACACAGATAACCCCGGGTATACCAGACTCATCAGGGACACACAGACCACCCAGGAAATACCAGACTCCTTAGAGAAACGCAGATCGCTCAGAAAAACACCGAACGCTCAGACAAACACAGACCGCTCAGAGAAACACAGACCCCTCAGGGAAATACAGACTGCGCAGAAAGGCACAGACCGCTCAGGGAAGTACATGCCGCGCAGAGAAACCCTGACCCCTCAGGGTAACACATACTGCTCAAGGAGACACAGACCCTCAGGGAAACTCAAACTGCTAAGAGAAACACAGACCGTTCAGAGAAACACTGACCCCTCAGGTGTAACAGTATTGGTCAAGCCATTATGAGTTATTGCCCTTGATGTGAAACTCTCCAATAGCGTTGGTAATAAAGTGAGTCTTAGTCCGCCATTCGAAGAGTTGAGTTCTCTCTACAACACAGACCACCCAGGAAATACCAGACTCCTTAGAGAAACGCAGATCGCTCAGAAAAACACCGAACGCTCAGACAAACACAGACCGCTCAGAGAAACACAGACCCCTCAGGGAAATACAGACTGCACAGAAAGGCACAGACCGCTCAGGGAAGTACATGCCGCGCAGAGAAACCCTGACCCCTCAGGGTAACACATACTGCTCAAGGAGACACAGACCCTTAGGGAAACTCAAACTGCTAAGAGAAACACAGACCGTTCAGAGAAACACTGACCCCTCAGGAAAATATAGACCGCTCAGAAAAACACTGACCGCAAAGGGAAACACAAACCGTTCAGGGAAACACAGACCGCTCAGATTAACACAGACCGTTCAGGGAAACACTGACCACCCAGGGTATACCAGATCCCCCAGGGAAACACAGACCGATCCGATAAACACAAACCGCTCAGGGAACACATACCGCTCAGAGAAACACAGACCCTTCATGGAAACACAGGCCGCTTTGGGAAACACCGACCGCTCAGAGAAACACCGACCGCTAAGACACAGACTTATCAGGGAAACACAGGCCGCTTAGGGAAATACATACCGCTCAGAGAAACACAGACCACTCAGGGAAACACAGACTTCTCAGAGAAACACTGACCCCTCAGGGAAACACACACTGCTCAGAAAAACACAAACCGCAGAGGAAATCAAAAGATCGCACATACAGGAAATCGCAGTCCACTCCAGGAATATCGGACCGCTCAGGGGGTTTCAGACCGCTCATACACTTACAAACTATTTATTTTTATTTCATGCTATTATCGTTAAACAGTGTTTTTCGTTTACAAACATGAACAACAATGACAACTCGATTGGTCGGTCAATCCCCATTAACCCTGATACGTCTGGTTCCCGCTGTCTAACTCTGGACAGAGATGAGTGCTGTCCGAAGTGTAGGTCTCCAGTAGGATGGGTCTTAGGACTTTTCCAATATTCCAGGCTTGATTTGCATAATTAAGTAACTGTAACGTTCGTACTTATAAAATAATGGGTCCCATTGGTGTTTTT